AAACCGGATGCCGCCAACCATACTGCTGCTTATTGAATCCATATATATATATATATATATATATATATATATATATATATATATATATATATATAATACACAATCGGTGATACAGATATTGTGCCACCGGAATCATGGTTGAATAGGAAAACAGTATGAATAATAAGAAAAGAGCAACAACAAAAGTTTCTTTTGTCTATTTTACCGCCCAGTTTTTGAATTTTTTTCGTTTGTTCGTTTTTATGGGGAGGAATAAGGGACACCGCAACACGCCGATGCACACGTCCGCCATTGAGATCGATCTTGAGCCATGACTTCCAAGGTCTTCAAACAGCAAGTATCCGCATCTCTCGGACCCCAACCAGGTAGTGGACAACAACCGGCCGAGGCCAACTGTTTCGTCAGCGATTTAATGCGGCTTCCCCATGTTGTAGGCTGTCCACCAGAAGGTCTCTTCCAGCCCTGTTCAGCAACCGAAAACAACACACGACGCGCGCAACGCTGGATAGGCATGCGCAATACGTAGTTAGACCCCAGAAAACAGACAGAGAACGCAGAAGCGTTTGTGGTCGAGTAATTCAGACTCAGGAATGATGATAAATTGGGTCAATATTTTCACATAAAAATGCAAAGCTTAAATTAAATTCAACGAAGCAGTATGTCCTAACAACATAGCTCGAAGTAGTGATAGACATAACGTTAGTTTGAAATCCTGAGGAGCAAAAGAAAAGCATGCTTTTATCCATCTGAGGCTGTACAGTTATCGAATGGAAGGTATCAAATCGACTTAACTCAGATAAGTCTTGAGAGGTGAGTAGTACTGTAGGTCCGGTAGCAATGATGCTGGGATATGACCATTTGCTTATGTGACAGTTGCAGCGATAGATGGTGAGGGAACTGTCCATACGTAACGGAACCTCAAAACTGCGGTGAGTCGGACCGAGGAAAGATATCAGGATGAAGAAATGTTTCTGTGACAAATCACAGAGAAAACCGTCAGCCTAGTGAGTGTAGATTGACATAACCCGAGAAACTGTCGGTGAGATGATTTAGTTAGGCCAGATGTCTGGGTTGGTTGGGAATCGGAAAAAAGTGCAATCCGTACGAGTCAGCTTTACAATTATCCCTAAAGTTTGCACAGAAATAACAGTGGGATTGTGATCACAGAAAATGTCACTTGTTTCGCAAGAGCTCTGTACTGTATCCAGGTCAGTTCACACCGTCGCTGGACCTATTGGGAAGTCAGCGTCATAATTGCATTATTACAGTAGAAAATGAAAGGTGGGATGCCGTTTTGTAAAACAATTAATTGCGATGGCGAATGTTGAGTTTTTACCAGGGACCGAAAATAAAGCACGCGTGAACTCGAAGAAGGAAGAGATTAGTCGGGGATCCAAAGAATAGGTGATCAATTTGGAGTCTGTGTGGGTCGGGAATGCGTACAAACTACAGGTATATGGAGAAGAGCGAACACGGCATGTGTCAAAACACTAGGCACTTGCAATCGGGCGCCCTTGTGATAGTGCGCGTTGGGACAGGTGAGCCATGCAAAGGCGTTCCACGAAGTTGTGGGACACAATTGGGGAAGAGTTAGAACGACCAGGGTAGTAAAATGATTATTACTGTCAAAGCATATGTACATGATTTGAAAATGATGTGAGGAGTAGTGTATGCGAAAGGTTGCATGAGATGAGGTATAGTACATCCGCAATGGACAAGTAAATGTGACACAAGGTGGGAAGTGAACGTTTTCTGTCAAACAACGCTGATGGGTCCACGATCCACTTTGATGACATCTTCTATCTTCCTGTAAGAGATAGAAAGAAAGCAGGACATTGTGATCATCTCAATGAGATGACAAAACGTACCAATGGCCGTCCACGATCCAGCCCAGGTTGTCTGCGATAAGATGCAAATTCTGACAGCCATCGCATCGAATAATAACGATACCTTTCTCGTATGCATGCTTCGAAAAGTGCTTTTGTGACCTGTGATTACACTTCTGTGACAGTGTACTGACAATGAAGCAGGGAGCTTACTTTGCAAGTGAATTCGATGTACATTTTCCCCACGACATCGTTTGCGTTGTCAGTGGTGGGTAGTGCAGTTAGAGCGATGGAAGTTAGGGGTTGCGAATGATCGCATAACGAGCGTATATTACAGCGAAAAGGTACCGGAGAACATAAAGCACGTGGCCCGAAACCACAAAAACGCCAGGAAAGTGACGGTAAAAGTCGTACAAGGGGCCGAGTAAGGGACAAGATTGCTGTCGAACGGGTAAGCATATCTGAAAAGAAGACGAAGTGAAGTGTGTCCATAAAGCAGGGGTAAGCATGAACACAAGAGGTGCCACAATAATCTAGTGAGCGGTAACACTCAACACGACGTGATACAGCAGCACATGAGTTGCACGGTACTTGCAATGGCTCACACATCTCCGCGAATTCGAACACACATTTCGAAGTCATGTTACAGACGCGTCTGACGTACAAAACAGTAGATGAATTTAGTAAATACCCTCATGATCGATGAGGTGGAAATATTGTGCGCTAGGGAAAAGTGTGTAAACAACAAAGTTGGTCTTGGAGCACCGAAGTATACAGAAAGTGTCAAACGAGCGGGCAAAGAGAAAAGAATTTGAGATCAGGGTGCAAATCGCAAAATGTAATCCGCGGATATTTCTGTCCGCCTAAACATAGGTGATTCCAATAGTATTCTCAGGGACAGGATTAACTCCACCTGACCCACAACAGTGCTGATAGCAGGTCGCCGTAAAACGCAAGTCATCCTTAAGATGACTGTGCCACCATCAGACTTACAAAAAGAGCGGCGGTCTGGTTGTCTGCGTAGTGATATCCTAAGCCGTGGAACGATGCAGGCTATATGGAGTGGGATAATGAACAATGAGGCATTCAACAAGCAGCAATGAAAACCCGTAAAGGTGACCGTCGCACCAGATGTGACTCGAGTTAACGGAGCAGAAAGCCAGTAAACGAATCAATGAACTAAAAATAGTTTAGCGAATTACACACATCTGAACTGGAGTAGGCCAAACAAAGAAAGGTGAATCGTTGTGTAACACCCAAACGGAGCCGTGAAAAGCGTGCATGTGGCGAAGACTTTAGCCGCAATGACGCAGAAGTCAGAGGAAGCGGTGTGATAGACAAAGAGACCTGGTAAGCATCTCATACGAGGAGCTTGTATTCACAAATGAGTCATGTGGCCGACAACCCAACCGGACCATGGCGCACTGATCTAGTAGTACAAACCATCAAAGTGAGGTGGTCATGCCAGCTCAACTCAGCTAATACGTGTTGTGGCCGTTTGACAAGCCGAGCGCTTTGAACATCGGTAACGTCTGAAAAATGCGCCGCAAGCACTTATAATGAAATACGTATATTTCGGATGCGGGAAACTGTGTATGTAGTGACACAGAGCAATTTGTAGAAAAGAATCTGCGCTCTTGTATGGGCGATATGTATATGTGGAAAAACGGGGCATGTGATTCAGGTTATTACGTTCTAGTGGATGGTTAAGATGAAAGCCGCTTTGGAAACAGGGGTATTTGGAGGTTTCAGGACACTTCCTGGAACAGCACATCGAGAGATATTTCCCACGTGAATACAGTGACTATGGTATTTAGATCAAGATAAGTGGACAGTTCGCTCCTAAAGGTTGCCACATTGTCACGACCTGAGTGTCATTGGTAGTTTACTTCACAGATAGCTATATCTGAACAGGAAAAAAATTAGAGCGAATGTTCGTTCTAGCCTACGGTTAAAAGATTAGCTGCCATGTAGGAAAACAAGTGAAAATACAGAAATCTCCAGGTAGAATTCGATTTTCGAATAAAGTAACTTCTTGGTTACCGGTGGTATGAACAGAGGGATAGCGTGATCACAGCTCTGTGCCGACTACTGGTAGCCAAAATCATCCAACTCAGGTCCATGGGAGGAATTTGGCATGTAACACACAACCGACGGCAGCGTATCCCAAATAGTAGGCTATCAACAAGCGATGTTTCATCGTGCGACAGCTGAATGGGTTGAAAAGGCGACCCAATCGGCATAAGTCACCCCATAGAACATTCACTGCAGATCGGCTGCAAGTGCGTGGGGAGTAGTTGTCGGGGGACCAACTTGGGCAATCCATCAGCTGATGAGCGCAGAACCAGTAAATTACAGGGCAAGAGGAAAACACGATGCGAGTCAGGACCTGAAAAAGAAAAAAGCACTCAGTCATAAAGTGAATGAACATGAGAATAAATTCTTGACAAGAATAGCTGAAAAAGAAGGTAAATGTTTCAGCAAGTATTGAAAGTGGTTAAAACAGTGCCAGGTTTGTACCACAGATTAGTGGCACGTGTCGCTTTGGCCTTTGAATACGGGTTTTTGAGGAGAGTAGCCGGTAAGTGATGGGAGTACCGCGTTGGTAACGACGATCACAGGCGCCGCGTCTTAGGCAACATGGGCATTCCTTTCAGCGGGCCCATTTCGATGCGTGATCGCGTCGTGATCATCCTATCACAAAAACAAAAAGTAAAGGCGCTGACCCTTTGTTTAGCTATGGCTGACCACGCACTATGAATGAAACTTAAGGATGAGGACACCACCAGCTTGAAACACTGCGCAAAATCCGGTTCACTGGAAGAAATGCGTGAGATTACGACTCAAGTGATTGGCAACGTAACCCTTGAACAAACCAAAAAAGTCAGTCCATGAAAAACAACTGTAACTTCTGTCTACTGCTAGTTTCATTTCTTCGATCACAGCGTTTACTCATCATCATCACCATCAGCCATTTAAACTGATGCTTCGCTGTCATACAACCATGATGACCTGTGGAATAAAGAATAATACGAGGGTAAAAAGGAAGACTTAGCTGAAAACCTGAATGCCCCCTAAGCAAAATTCAGCGTCAAGGTGCCCACACTTCGTGTTAACAACAACGTCAAAGACAGCAGGCTATCCTGCAAAGAGAAAGTGACATCAGCGAGACAGCTTCCTTGCGGCTTTCACCGCCCCACGTCATAAACTGCCATTACCCCGCAGAATATTACTTACGTAGATTCCACGGTTTCTGATGGATGGATACCTATTCTTCAAGTCGCAGCTGCAACATATATATATATATATATATATATATATATATATACATATATACATATATAGTTGACGGCATCCGGTTTCGGATTTCCCTGTCACCCTGATCAGCCACAGGACGCCTGCGCCTACAGAGGGACCATGGGTGGCTTGCGCTGCACCACCCACAGCTCCATCCACACACCCCATATCCAGTGTAAACCCGAAGAAATAAGACCGGAATGCATGTGGATGGGAGCCACGTTTCATCAACGGAGCCGGCCAACAATCCTTCACAGGCAAATACAAGCACGCTGTATTTGGAAATCAAGCGCACACAAGACGGTGGCTGGACCGTAGTCCGCTTTACACTGAGTGCATGGAACCACTCTTCGAGCCTAACAGGGCCACAAGGACCGTGCACCCCGTCCCCTCCATCAACGACCAACTGCCATCTGATACAGTATGGACGAGGCAGTGGGTAATAGACTGGTAGGCACTTGCCAACATGAACATCAAGCGCAGCCACACCAGGGATATCAAGCAACAGCCAATCACTTGAGAGAAAGATAACCAAGAAAATAAATCGAGTAATGCATAAGGAAACGGTGACAAAAATCTTAAATTAATGAGCATATGAAATAAGTTGTTTACAAACGAATCCGAGATAAGTTCACGAGGTCGGAAAGTATATTTTACGGAAATGCCACAAACACGAACATGTTATCGAAATTAACTACAATTGGCTTAAACGACGTGTGCAAGTTTATAGAAGAGAGTATAGGTAGGCATTTATATGAGAAAGAAAAGCATTAGGACAAATTGAAAACCCACCACCTGAAATAAATAGACTTAGCATGCAAGTACGCGGTTAGTAAATCGAATGCAGCGTACCTACAAACGCTGCGCCGGTTCTGCCTACGTTCTCTGCAGGACCCGTCATCGCTTCGGTAGTGGTCCCGAGTGGCCTCGCTCATGGCTCACTAGACCTGCCTGACTCAGGCACTCGCGACCGCATGTGCTACAGCACCATGCGCTCGATGTCGATGGAGTACAACCCATCGGTGCTTGCCGCTTCTTCTCTACATGTATGAGGTCTTTCTCCCGCACTTCGGCAACTGCTTCGTGATTAAATCGCGCCATGCACGCCAATCAACCGCCTTCGATTCCCATGACCTGCAATCAAGATTAGAAAGTGAGAGGCTCACTTTGATCATGTCCTGGAAACGTAACTTTGGTTTCCCCACATGCCGCTTCCCAATACTCAGCTGACCGTATAAGAGTTGTTTCGGTATCCGCGTTGAATCCATACGGCTCACATGACCGAGCCACCTCAGGTGTCTCAGTAAAAGTATGCAGTCCACTGCATACATCCCACTTTGTCGCAACACTTCCGTGTCAGCAACCCTGTCGCCCCAACTGATGCGCAAAATTCGTCGCAAACACTGCTGATGGAACCGCTCGAGATATCGCACATCCCGCCGGTACATCGTCCACGTTTCACTGCCGTATAGAAGAACGGACAGCACCATGGATTTGTACACCATCAGCTTCGTGCCAATGGTAAGCTGATGGTTGTTCCACACTCGGTATTCTAGCTTCCCGAATGCCGCCGCTGCCTTCGACACGCGGATACGCAGCTCACTGTGTATCTGCTGATCAGTCGACATCACACTCCCAAGGTAGCAGAAGCGGGAGGTGGTTTCCAATACTTCAGCACCAATGCTGATTCGCGACACCATAGTTAACTTCACCTCCGGTGAAGGCTGAAAGAGACAGACAGTTTTGCTTGTGTTGATGGTGAGCCCGAATTTGGCCGCTGTCGAAGCCAGAACACTTCACCATTTTACACGCATGTTGGCGCATTGCACCAAGCTTTTAGCGTGGCACATTTTCGAAATCGCGTGCAGCGCTTTCAACTTAGTGAGGTTTCCTTCAGATAGGCATCAAAATAGAACAGAAGGTGGTGCTCGACCACTTTCATTGGACTGTCTGTCGCTTACCCTGTGGTCTTCCAAACGGTGTCCCATTGGGTAGCGTCCCATGAACAATGAGAGTGTCAACGACACCAAAATAGCATTTTTAGCCTCGCTAACGTGAAAGCACTGCACGCGATTTCGAAAATGTGTCACGCTAAAAGCTTGGTACAATGCGCTAACATGCGTGAAAAATGGTATAGTCATGTGTGTTAAGTGACACGGACACGATCAAAAAGTCACGATGGCGGCGGGCGGAAAACAGACGTTTATTCAGTATAGTGTAGGCTATTTAAAGGAAATAAACACGGTTAATCTTCGAGCCTTCTCAGTGGGTCTCCTGTTTTTCGGCTGACCTCATTGGTTGCGTTCCCCTTTTATTTCATTGGGTTATGTTATTCCTCTTCAGTTGCTGTCTTCCTGTCTCGCGCAATGATCACGTCTTTCGTGCTTGGCATCTGATTGGCCGTATTTCTTTGGACCGCTCATATTTGGCTTTGCACTCTGAAACTTGCAGTTAATAACGATTCTCGAGTTGCCAGTGCGCTCTCTAGGTTCTATTGTCCAATCCGGTTTGTCGGTTTCTGGATACGTGTGCCACTCGTGATTCGCTGTCCAGCCATCGCTGTGTCTCCCGGTGGGTTCACGCGTTCTGTCGATCGAACTGATCCGCTGACTCCGGTAACCTGCGCTTAGGTGGTAAGGTCGAGCATACTGGACTGGTTTCCTAAACCCCGTTACAATGTGCTGCAACTCATCCACGCTGTGTGCAAACAACGCGCAGTTGTCAGCAAACGGCAACATACGGATGGTTGTCTCACAGATTAGAGTTCTCGCACCGAAACGACGGATGTTCAGCAACTCACCATCAATACGATACTCCACACGAACACCGTAAGCACAAGCCGACTCAAAAGCACAAGACATCATGGCATGGAGATATATATTAAACAGGGCAGGAGCTAAAACACAGCCTTGCTTCACACCAGAGACAACTGCAAAGTCATCCGAGGTCTCTCCACTCAGCTGCACCCTACTCGCATACCACTGTGCAGACATTCAATTAAACTTACAAACTTACGCGAGCAACCAAACTTACCCAACACCAGCCACAATGCCTCGCGATTCACCGTATCAAATGCCTTGGTGAAATCAACAAAAAGCGAGTACAATGGCTAGTGTCGTTCTCTGCACTTCTCCTGCAACTGACGAGCCGCAAACACCATATCTATAGTGCTGCGACCCCAGCGGAATTCACACTGCTCTTCCGCCGCGTTAGGTTCCACAACCTGACTGACGAGTCGGTTGAGAAGGATTCGAACAATCACCTTGCCCACACAACTCAGCAAGTTGATGCCACGATAATTCGTGCAACATTGCTTGCTCTCTTTACCCTTGTACAGTGGTAGCACAAGGGCATCCTTCAGCTCAGCAGGCACCTCCTCCTCAATCCATACGCGTCGCACCAAACGGTGCAGCGCAGTCACCAATGCGGGTCCGCCGTGTTTCAATACTTCAGGTGGGATCCCGTCGGCCCCAGCACACTTGCCGTTTCGCAGACGAGCATGTGCTCTCTGCGTCTCATCCAGTGTCGGCGTGTCCGCCAGACTCGTCTCCACATTGTGCTGCTTGAGGCCGTTCAATGTAGGCCAGTCAATCTCTGAACGGTTGTTCAAGTGACAGTCGAAGTGTTTCTGCCAGATCTGCATTCTGTCTGCAGTCTGTGTGCAGGTAGCGCTTGAACTACCATCGATCAGTGTCCTCAGCGGCTCCAATCTCGGTCCATACGCCGCCTTCAAGAAATCGAAGAATTCCTTGTGTTGGCGGCGTTCGGCATAGCATTCCATCTGCTTCGCCTTCTCCGTCCACCATGCACTTTTAATGCGACGGAGCTCTCGGGTCAGTCGCCGTTGAAGTTTGCGAAACTGAGTCTTCTTCCCCAAGTCACTGGGTTCTGCGGCATGGGCAGCAAATGCTGCATTCTTCTCCGACACCAATGCGCCAATCGTCGCATTGTTGTCATCAAACCAATCAGGCGCTTAGAGTTTGCGCACCCGATGGTCTCCTCGACAGCAGCTGTCACATGGTCGCGAATGTGGTGCCACAGGTCGCCCACTGTAGCTATGCAGTCCACATCACACAGGCGTGCAGCCAGCGC